CATTTTCCTTAAAAAATAAATATTAAAGAAAAGACATGTATTAATCATTTAATATTAAACACCCTGAAACAAAAATAATTTTTTGCTCTTTTCTGTATTGTAAAATATGATCCCATTCAGAGGCGAGCAATTAAAGCTGCTCTGTGTGTGTCTTATGTAATGTTCAACAAAGAGAATCAAAAGCTTGTTTGGTGATTTGATGATTAGATACAAGGTATTATAAGCGCAACGTTATCCAGGGTTGGCGGCGCTGTTTTCTTTTTAAACCAAAGACGATATCGTACAGTAGAAGATTATATCCACGGAGGCTTGCTTCAGGTCCAACCTTACCTGCACTGTTGAAAAATCTAATTTTAGTATGAATAGAACCTCTGCTAATGCACAGCGGCTCTCTGCAGACGATAGGTAGGAAGATAGGTGAATAAATCAGGCCCGGAGAGGGGAGACAGAGATTATGGCAGACGTTTGAGGAAAAAGATAGAATGTTTTAAAAAAAGAACTGTTCTTAGGTCATCCTCCATATTCATGGACAAGAATAAATTCATCTTTCATTTAATTAAAACATTGCCCTTGGCCGCTAATCCTTTAAGCTTTGACGTACAGTTTTCAGCCACGTTGACAGAAAACTTGACTCCGTAAACAAATTAAACCAATTTTACACACTATTAAGCCAAGGTTATCTTAACACCAGTTTTTTTTATCAAAAGTGATCATCTCGGCAGGCGTCCTGACCTGCTGCGCGATTCATTTCAAAACGTTGCGCAACTTAACGTGACATCAGTGACAGTGGCTTGCTGTTTCGCACACAACAGGACACACTGACCACAAGAACAGAGGCTGTTTGACAATTGTCCTTGTATCATAGAAAAACACCTTTTGAGAACATATATTTATATTCAAGAAAAATATAACGTGTAAATCCAGTTCATTTTTGTATGTATGTATATATATTTGTGTGGCACTTTGGCCCAGAGGCAATGTCTCTGTCGTTGGTGTGGAACCCCAGGGTTCACCTCCTGGGCAAGATTGGATCCCTGTTGGGGTGGTTGGCGCCTTCTAGTGGACTAGTGGACGAAGATGGATGGATGGATGGATGTATATTAAGTTGTTTAAACTCAACTGTAATGAAGCTGTGTTGTCCATAATCTGAGTCCTGTTTATTCAGGGCTTTGCTGGGGCCCCCCTTTGGCTCATTAGAAGACCCCAACCCAACCACCCCCCCACCCCCCAAAAAAAAACAGGATACACATATTTTATTTTTAGACAGGGACACAGCCTCCTTTCCCATATTATTATCAGATATTCATTTTACACCTCCTCCACCAATCAGATTTTGCCAGTCTCTTATTACACATTTACAGCATTGGAAAACGCTGCGTCACATTTCATTCATTTAATCATTCCATCCTGACTCACCTGCAATGGCACCCCCC